ACTCAGCCAGGTCTAACCTGATTTACATAAGAAACAAATGAAAATAGTACACCAAAAGATGGTGGTAGAAGGAAAAAGGAGAGGGGGAAATAAGGAAGAACACATGGCTGAATTTAGGTTGGGTAAAAACAATGAAGGACAGAGAATGGGCAGGCCTGTTCACATAAAGTCAATTATTAATTGTGTTTTAGAATAATCACTGCATCTAACTTTGCCTTCAGAAAACTTTAAAAGAAATAACATAGTTATTCAGTGCATTAAAGTTAGAACAATTCTCTTCATATTATAACTATGCCATTATAGAACTTAAAGGAGATAAAATCTGGCATAATTTTATTAATTTTATACCTAAAACATATTTTACATATTATAACATACATATTGTATGTTATAATACATAATGTATGTATACATTTTTTGATGTATGTATGTATTAATAATGTATGTATTGTAACATACATATTGTAAATGCAAAATATTTTTATTAATTAGTCATTTATTCAAGTTAATATTTTTTCATAACCCTGGCAGGTTTATAAAATGACTAACATTTTGTATGCAACTTAGAATATTTATGTCAAAAAAATCAAATGATTAAAGCTGGAGATCCTTTGTCCAGGGATAGGCATGGTACACTAACCATCACAACTGATTTCTCGATTTTATATGCCTGACATTGATATACTGATTTCAAATCCACATGACAGAATTTAGGATTTAATTTTATACACACACACACACACACACACACACACACACACACACACACACACACGTATATATGCATATAAAGTAGTATTAAATGTTTCATTTCATATTAGAATATATAGATAATTGATAATTACAAAATTATTCAAAATTGATAAGATTATTACACAACTGGTTCATAAATACTCTAAAGAATAAAGAAAGGAACATGTGGAAGATGATTTATTTTTGAAATACAGAAAGATGAAGACAAAAAAAAATTGAATTTAATATGCAGATTCCAGACAAATCAAGTAGTAAGTCTTACTGATAATGAGAGAAAAATGAATATTTAGGACAGTGAAGGTACAGAAATACACACACATTTACATAATTTTTTGAGTAAGTAATATCTAAAAAGTAAAATAACATTTGTACTGCATTATTAAACTTTTATCTAAAGTATCCTCCTTTACAGAATTATGAGCAGAAATCATAGAAATGTTTTTAAACATTTAACTCAATAAATGCTAGAATATCTAAGGGGGTATTCACCTGCACAGTCTCATCCTTGTTCACTTTCTCTCACTTCTGCCTCCTCCACTTCTTCCCCAAAGTTCATTAAAGACACTACCTAAAAACTCTGCCCTGTCTATATGCAGAAGCCCATCTTAATGGAAGCAAGTACAGTACAGACTCAGACTCTTATTACATAGAACTTAGAAACCAGCTACTTATCCAACTTGTTCCTTAAGATAAGGATAGACCCTGGAAAATGGTAAATGATCAATAAGTATTTGTTGAAAGAATAAATAGATGGATAAATTCTTTTACAGCATCATTCTGTTCTGAAGTATCCTTTGCTGCCAATTAGATCTGAAATCCTCCAATGCCCTGGAATGAATTCTCCTGTGTTGCTCCCAAATTAAAGTTTTCCATCTTGTCTGCCATGGCCTAGGCCTGAAACTCACTGTCAGACTCATCAATTTGACCCCCTGCTCTCCCAACTAAAGATATCAACTGTTGCATCAACCCCTTTATCTTCTTTTAGATTTTGTATTTCTCCTTTTACCTTCAATGTCAGAGTCATCCTCAAAAGCTTGGGCAATTTATCTTCAAGTTTTCTTCTATCTCAATAGTAAGGATGTGTTTTTTCATCAGGTTCTATATGACACTTTCAAGCTGATCTCAGGCTTTACAAGCTTGGGACCAAAGCAGAGTGGGAAAGGTAAATTATATCAGAGAATACCCACAGATTTAAAAACATCAGCATCCACATTTAAGATTTAAGTATGTGAACACATAATTTCTGTTTCTTTCTCCTTAACTTACTAATTTTATTTCAAGGAATCCACAGTGAGATACTTCTGGGAAAGTGTGAAGAACTTTGCATGAAGTAAATGGAGGAGAACTTGAGAAAGTGCCAGAGGTAATTAAATCATTAGCCAAGTTTTAAGAATCTCATCTAGGGCAGAAATTATAGCCCTGAGTTCTTTACTATGGTGGAAGTTAACTGTGCCATCAGTAACACGTCTGAATGGAAGCTTCTAATGTTTCCTTGCCCAGGTTTAATTTCATAATAGTTCATTTGCTAAGTGTCTGTTAAATGCTAAGTTTGCATGATGGAGCATATGGTGGGGGGGTAGTTAGTATATTGTGGTTATGGAATAAAACTGACAAATAAAAAATCATAAATGAAATGGAACAAAAACAAAAAAAAGCTTTACAACTTATGGAGAAACACATTAAAATTAAATGTATTAGCTCCATTTGAAGTTTTTATTAAATATCATTACTAAATGAAGACAACCTTTATGATGTAGGAGAGAAATGTGAAAATCTATGAGAAGTGTATGATTCTTGGTCATTTCTCTTGGAGGAGGTTGTCCACTGCTTTTCATAATATTCAAATTGTTTGGGATCACTTTTTACTGAATCTCTCCCACAAAATACAGGCCGAAGTTCCATCATTGCCATTTACTCAATGATCATTTATTTCCCAGCTTGTCTATCATCTCCATTTCAATGTTATTACTGTTGAGTAAATTGTCCAAAGGCAACAATCTGTCATTTACCAAAGACAACTTCAATCCTCTCAGATCTTTAGAAGGACTATAGCTATAGCACTATAGATTATAATTTACAAAATGATATTGTGGGATCCTGAAATCTTTCGTTTACTTCACATGATAAGTCACTTCTCTGAAAGTGGTTATGTCATCACTGAATTGTGGAAGAGGGCCAAGGGCAGATCTTTTTAGCTAGCTGAGATCACTTGGCAAGCCTGCTGACAATTCTGGTCATGACGAGATTCATCTCAGTGACCAAGTAAATCTTCATTTGGCAATATAAAGCCATCGAGTCCTGTTGGCTAGGATACAGTAAAATAGTCTCATTACCCATCTAGAATTCTGTGATAAGATGAAATTTAATTTTCTTATATCTAAATGAATGACCATAGAATGATCATATAAATATTGAATAAAGGATTGATTCATTAAATCATTTATTCCCTCAACTAAACTTACAGAGTGCCTTCTATGGCAATGCATCAGACATAAAAGGAGAAGGTAAATGCATTAATATGAAACAGATATCTTGCCTGTCAAGAGTTATATAAGAAATTTGAAGGGATGTTTAGTAAGAAACACAAAATAATTTCTATGAAACTATTTAATTATAGGTCCGGGAGGTGTGGTGTGGGTACCTTTTCCATTCCTGAATCATATTGTGATCTCAAAGGTAACTATGCAAAGAATCCAAATAGCTCTTAATGTGAAGGCATGGCACCCTACAGAATCCCCTGTGGTGGACATGAGTCACCTGTAGGTAGGGCTCCCTTAAAGGAGAGTCTGGAATCTTTCCAGAAATGTATTAGGAGAGCTGTCCACCAAAGCATGGGCTATCTCCCTGGAGAACGGAGGCCAAGTCTTTTTATTATTTTTTTTAAAGATTTTTATTTCTTTATTTAACAGAGAGAGAGATCACAAGTATGAAGAGAGGCAGGCATGGGGGTGGGGAACAGGCTCCCTGCTGAGCAGAGAGTCCGATGCGGGGCTCGATCCCAGGACCTTGAGATCATGACCTGAGCCGAAGGCAGAGGCTTAACCCGCTGAACCACCCAGGCACCCCCAAGTCTTTTTATTTTACCACAATGTCCATGAAGAGTTTTGCCATCAGAGCAGACCCTATGTGTCAGTGAGGAATGTGTGCATTGTTGTGTAGTTATTTGTTGCTTTCCTTCCCCTTTTTTCTCTTATGATTAAAGAATAAAATTTCACAATAAACTTAATATTTCAACTACAAAAAAAAAAACCTAGAAACTTCCTCTATAACTGATCATACTTGATAAATCCAGCCCCATCAACCCACTACCCACTGTAGACTTGCCTTCCTTTCACTGCTGGTTCCTCTTCCTCTGCTGATATTCACATTCTAAATTGCACAACCTTTTAAAATTAAGGCAGGCAAAAGAGATTCTAAAGTATTTCAGTACCCCACCAGTAAACCCACTCCTTTCATTTTAACATGTATCAATAAATTTGGAATGGAATGAGTTTTCTTAGGAATCATGATTTTTTAAAAAAAGAAGCGAGGCTAGTTAGTGGCTGTTAATTAGCACTGTTCAATTCTGAGTTCATGCTCCAGAATTTTAAAATATATACTTAATGGTACACTGGAAGAATCAAGTTGTAGAAAAGACATGCGAGAAGTGAAAATGACATTTGGCAAGTACTGCAAGCCAGTTAGAATGAGAGGGAAAAAAAAAAAAAACAGAGAGAGAGAGAGAGAGAGAGGGAGATAAAGAGAGAGAGAGGGAGGCAGGAGAGGACTGCTGGTCTAACTAGACATCTTCAATTCCACTCTATTGAAGGCAGGAACAATCTAAATAAAAGGTAACAAAAAAGATGCACTTGATTAGAAGTTAAACAATCTTATAATTCAAGATGCTTACCATTTGGGAAAGCTGTTTGTTTCATGAACTTCAATTTCCTGATGTCTAAAACAGGGGTCAGTTGTTATGAGGATCAAGTAAGATCATACATGTGGAGCTCTGTGTTCAAAATAGATCCCAGGAAAACATTTGAATCCTTCCCTGTTCCACTTAGTGTAGACAGCTTGTTGTTTTATCTAATTCTGAGACAATCACCATAAGTTCCCAAAATATTCCTATTAATTTTTCTCCTAAAAATAAAATCTATAAAATTCTGAGCTGAATACAACATGGAAATACTTTTCATCCTTGTACCTAATATAATAACTTCTAAATATATTCTTATGAATCTAGCTTCTCCTGTATTTTCTGTTTGTACTGTAAGCCGGAACTTACTGCAACAGAGGCCCCAGGCAGCCGTGAAGACTGGCAGCCTCAGCACCACCCCACCCCCCCCCCCCCGCGAGCCCAGGGGCTACCTCAAGCCAGGGGAACCATCCTGGCCAGCCCCTGGCACCTGCACCATATAGTCCAGGGCCACTATGTGGGCCTTGTTGTTCACAGTCAGCACGGACGTCGTGATGTCCTTGGTCAGGTCACTCTGTAGGTGGCGGGACAGGCTACATTAGCCTCTGCAACCACTGGAGGACCTGGACCCCGGGATGCCATCCCCTCCTTCTGGGCCTCCCACCCTCGGGGACCCCCACCTTATAGTAGATGTTCTTTCCTGGGGGTGCACAGCCTGTGCTGAGGATGTGGTCGTAGTTGCGATGGTCAATGACCAGCAGGCCCCCAGAACGCACCATGCTCGTGATGTTCTTCAGCGCCAGCCGGTGCTCGCTCTGGTCGCCTGAGCTCAGGGCGGGGGCAGAGAGACTGCGTCTGCCGAGAGCCCTGGGGTCCAGTCTCCCTCCCATCTTCCTCCTCCTCCCTGGGGATACCGATGCCAAGGCAGAGCGGAACAGAAAACAGTCTGCTCTGACAGGAGAGCAGGCACCCAGAGGGTCTGTGGAAAGAGGCAGAGCTCAAAGCAGGGGCCAGGATCCAGGCCACACCCCCTCTCACCTTTGCAGTCTGGCAGGTGGGCAAAACTGTTTCCAAGGCAGATGACAGCATCGAAGCCACCCCCTGGTGGCAGGGGCACATCATTGTCCAAGGTCATCCAGGAAAAAAAAAAACAAAAAAAAACATACTGAAGCCTGGAACAACAACAAAAAAAAAAAAAAAAAAAAATCAGTAATACTGATCTTATCTCCATTTTAAAATTTGACTTATTGTTCATCATAATTTTTTGCAATAATTCTGACTTTTAAAAATATTTTATTAAATATTATTATCTTGACTCCTGATTCCTCTGGAACCTCCTCAAATTGTGTATCTAAACAAATATCTGATTGGCCTTACCCTAATCCTGGCCCTGTGGGAGATGTTTTTAGATGCAGATTCTGAGATTTTGTTTTTGTGTTACTTTACAATACATGTCAAGATGAACCTCACCAGAGTATATTCTGTCGAATCAGTGATAGGAGTGGGATTAGTTGACCCCAACCAAGAAAGTGGTATCCCTTGAAATATTCTCCCTTCACTTTTATTATCTTCAGTGTGACTCCTTTGTGGCCTATGTCCCAGTCTTTGGAGGTCCCTGCAAGGTGTGTGGCTGGAAGGTCATGTGACTGGAAAACCAGGCATCTCCTCTTTTTGCAAAGACACCCCTAATGCTTTGTGTTTTTCTACCAATAAATTATGATTCACTGAACATTTATATCAGGCATTAGAATATATTTTTGCCCCCAGCTTATTTCTCTCTAAGAAGTTAATAGGAAATTATTATTAATAACAATTTAGAGATGCAGATTTTAACAGATGAACAGATGAACAGATTTAACATTTGCAATGAAGAATCTAAAATTCATAAACATTGGACAACCTATCAAAAGCCTGTTCTTTGAGTCAAGTTTCAAATATGGCAGCCTTCCTCAAGGAAAAAGAAAATTGGAAGAAATTAGACAAATTAGAATTGGAACTCTGAAGTCTGGAAATAAGAATTAGACTACAGACTACCATGTCTATACCTGACAGATCTTTATGATCTACATAATACCAGAAACATCTTAGAGTATTATAACCTTGAAAAGAAATCAACAACATAAAAACGCACTCAAAAAAGTAAAAGTGTAAGCCATGGGAACAAAGAAAAAGACATAAGGCAAAGATATTACTGTAGAAGGGACAAATTGGCCAGGCAGTAGGGAAATCCCAGGAGCTCATATTGGCAGAGACTGGAGAACAGAACACTATGATTAGTCTAGAAAAGATACAGCCCATTAATCAGTTGGAATTTGGCAAGCTCTCTGGTGATTAAAAGCCAAATAGAGACAAGTGGCATAATTACCTGAGGGTATGTGGATGATCAACCATCCTGGTTTACCTGGGACTGAGATTTTTTCCAGACATAGGTTATGCAGTGCTAAAAGTAGGACAATCCCAAGAGAACTGGGACAGTCTCAGGCAAGCCAGGATGGCTGGTCACTCTAGAGTACATCAGAGGTCCAAACTCTTAGCAATCAATATAGAGAACCAGCAAAACTGGGTGAGGGTACCAAAGTCAAGTACGCTAGCTTTGGAGATGAAAGGGTAGGCGAAGCGGTAGGACAGGGCAGATTCAGAGACGGAAGTATAGACAAGAGAGTCAAAGGTCTTAGTCATTCAAAAGTCCATTGGGTTAATTAGTAGATAATACATGTACACAGTGTTTCAAAGTAAAAGATAATGAATTTCATAATAGAAAAAGAACAAGAATTATGGGAATTCAGAGAGGATAGAGAATTGCCAATTTCAGTGAGATGAGAAAGGACACATTAAAACTGAGATTTTAAGCATGACTGGTTTGTTATTAAGCAGATTTGGAAGAAAGTCAGAAAAAGAGAATATGATATCAAAATGTACAGGATATGTACAGGTTATACACCAGATCTGCCCTTTGATCTGAGTGAAATTTGAAGGTGAAATAGACAGTATCTCGTATTAACTTTGGGATTTGTCTTTGATGTGAAGTTAATCACTTCAGATATTATTCATCAAATATCAATGAACCAACCATAAAAGATTCTGCTCAGGGAAGTGGGCAATGAAGCTGACCTTTGCTTCTGAGGAATTTGCACCAACAATGGCGAGCAGGTAGCTTTGGGATAGGGGGTCACTGGATACAGAGTTCTTACAAAGCACAGTGATAATTACACAGAAAGTGAGAAGAAACAAAGGCTTGAAAGAATGAGAGGAAGATGGAAAAAATAGGATAGTGAAAGGATTAGAATTCAAGGCAGTGTGGCAAAAGAGGATAAACTCGGGCTTTAGGAACAGAAAAACCTTGACTGATGTCCCTAATCCTCAGCTTACTGAGGATCTGACAAAATGTCCTGACATACTGACAATGTAGCGTCAAGAAGAAATCTTAACCTTTCCAAGCCTCAGATCCTATACATAAAATATGGATAATATGACCCATCAGAAGTCTTAGGTAAATTATCAAATATAATAATAAAGTCCATATTGTAATATACAGTACTTAGACTTTCATGGAATGACAACCGTTACTCTAAACTAAAAGAAATTTGTATAGTATATAGTATAGTATAGAAATGTCAAAGATATCAAAATTTTATTTTAGGTTTACATGAGATTCCTTAAAAGTTCAAAATATAACTATGGAGGGTCTCCCTCCATAGATGTAAATAATTTAACCTGGTTTCAAGTTTCATCTTTCCCACATTCTACCTCTATGGACTTGAGTATTCACCTAATTTTTCTGGTTATTATATGTGGTACAAACAAATGTAAATGGATTTTTCATTTACCAGTTGATAAATACCCTACAAAATGCTTATATTCTTAAATTTTTCTTCAGGACTAGATTTTAGTATCAGGCATGCCAAAACCAACCAAAACATGCCAAAAAAACACAAGAATCACTCTCTAAAGAAATGGACTCTCAATTATTTGCAACATAAAATAGGTGATAGAGAAGTTTACGATGTTGTGCCTGACTGGATGGTACCAAATTAAATCTAGTTGACGCTCAGATAAGAAAGATTGTACTGTGGGACAGGTATTCCCATGGTAGGTTTATGGAGGATGCAGGATTTAAGCATCAGTACACAGTAGGATTCATTTGATGGAATTTTTAAATAGGAATCAGAGTAGTGTTTGCAATACTCCAACCTGTTCCTTAGAGTGCAAGTGCTTTGGTCTGTGATAAAACCCTGTGGAGTCTTTCCCTTTTCTAGATTCATAAGTGGATTCTTCTTACTGCTTGGAGATCCTGATGATAGAGATTTGCATGTTAAGGTGTTAAAGTGGGACCAAAAATTTTCCAGGATCAGTCATCCGACACCAAGTTATAAAAATGTCTTGAATGATGGCAATTTAAGAGACCTAATGATCCACGCCAAATGGAAAATAAACCTGAATGTAGTACAGAACCATGCCTAAGAAATGTTGGCTTTGAAGGAAGTTCATTTTACATGCCACACTGGTCCTCTCTGAGGATGATTTTTTAAAAAGAGGCAAACTGAGGACATTCTGTGCTTCCCACACAGCCCATAGTAAAATATGAGAATACCAGTGCTCACATTGGAATTTCCAATAATGACTAGAGAATATACATCCATATGGTTTGGGAATGTCCCTCAGCCAATAACTCTTAGAAGGAAATTATAAGTACACTAAGGGGCATCGTTAACAATGATATTCTCTTAACCTTACAGCAATGTATTTTGGTTTATGGAACTTATACCAGCATTTACAGATCTTTGGGGAAAGTACTAAATATGAGTTTAATAACCATGGTTAGATATGTGAATGACCAGGCTGGTAAAACTCTTTTTAAAAGCATAATCCTTTTTTTTAGTTTCAACAGGTGTTGGAAAAATAGATCTGCATGGAATATCCATATCCTTGTATGAATATATCTATCTAGCAAAGAAAATGAAAGGTGCTCTATAAAAATTCGTTACTAATATGAATATATTAAGAAAACCAAATTGTTGGTTGCTAGCATTAAATTAATTGTGCTTTGTTAGAGAAAGTTGAATCCACAAAACAACTGTAAAGACATTCACTGCAAGCATTTATTGGATACAACAGCTCAAGCTAACACATTTTTATGAGAGGTAGATACGATTTAATTATTTGCTGTTAAGTTAGATTCCCTTCCCTCCCTCTGTGTCTAAAGCAGTCGCCTTAGCAACCCAGGTGTCCAGATGACTCATCATGCATATTGTTTTGTCTTTTCTTCTGTTTTGATCTGCTCTCTAATATGAGGTTTGAAAAAAAGAGAAAGGAAGACTTAAAAAAAAACTGCTTTGGGGACATTTATCAAGAAAAGACCATAAGAAAGGGGGGGTTTATATACCTTTTTCCTCCCACTATGTACATTTAATTGTGTTTTTCGCTCAGTGTGGTTTGTGCACCCCGCTCCATTCCCTACCCATTTTTCAGTTCTTAGTTAACTGGCTCGTCTGTGAAGTTCCTTGGTAGCATATTTGCTCAAGTCTCTACTGATCCTGAAGTTTTATAACAATTCATAAATGGACCATTCATCGGTCTGCTTTGTCCTGTAGTTATTGTTTATTTGTATGATAATACTGAATAGTGTAGCAATAAGGTAGAGATATGGTAGAAATAAGCAGCTTGCGATACAAGCACAAAGGAGGAAAATTTGACCAAGTAAAGTTATAACTTGCCTGATGCTCTGGCACATAAAAGAATAGTTATCTTGGATGAAAACAACCCATTACTGTATAAGAGCACTGCTCATATATATAAGTAAAAGATGGTCATTTTAATAATTTTCCTTGCTGGCTAACAGAAATTGTATCTAAAGTGTAGGCACATATGTGTAAATAATTTCATCAGAGGTTAATGCCAGAAAAGGACTGAGGCCTGGATTTTACCTCTACTTGCTATAATATACACAGAATGAATTAAGTGGCTAATTAGTTTCCTGTACATACATTACGCAGAACCTACTCTAAACAAAGGCATAAAGTGGATGATTACTATATTCAGCAAAGCTCTATGTCCCTCTTCAGTCACTTCTTCCCCACAAAGCTGCTGTAGTACTTTATGAGTTGGTTTCTTTTTTCCTTTCTTTTTTTTTTTTCTTTT